ATTTGAGCTAGAGCATTATTTAAAATGTAGTCAGTTACAAAAATATACATTTAAAAATATTTTTTTGGAATGATTTACTTTATAAAGTAAACCAATATATGGTATAACATCATATATTGGAATGCTACAGAAATGCAACTTTTTGGCATTAATAAATAGTAAACATAATAAATCAAAATAGCTGCATAATTCACATATTCAATTATAAGAAATTATATTTATATTATATAAATTATATATATATATATATATATATATATATATATATATATATATATATATATATATATATATATATATTTTTCTATAATTTTATAATAAACTTGACAAAAATATAATCCGTTACATACCTAGCAGCATTATAAATATTTGATGACGGAATAAAATGAGGACGTAGCATTTTGAAATTTTTAAATGCATACATTTTATTTACGTAATAGTACATATCATACATTAAATCTTTCACAAAAATTCATGTAATCTAGTTATTAAAATAGCATAAACAGATGATGTTCGTATACGAACAAATGTAAGGAATATGAGTCGGTCTTTTTTCGGTCATTTGTGAGTCACAAAGGGGATGAAGGTAAACTTGAAATAAGTGCGAGGAATGGCCATATTGTATGGAAAGAAAGAATTTAGAGAATCATGGGATTCACTCAGTAACGTATAAGATGATATAATACTGTAATATGTATACAATGGGGTCGATTCCGAGGCACCAAAAAATTGCAATTTCAATTTGATATCATATTGTGAAATCTTTATTCGAAAGACCAGTATGAATTAAATATTTAATCAATTTAATTCAAAATTATTATAAATTTAGTTGATAATTTCGCAAAACTATCTAATTAAAATATTAAAATTAAAAAAATATATAAATATTAGGTTAAGAGATAAGTTTAAAGAAACGTCACGGAATTGACGGAGAGGTGTTTAAAAAAAGAATATTTAGATGATTATCGTTATTACTATTAATACTGCCATATTAATATAAATAAAGGATAGTGATGTAACACATTGAGCTTTATATATATATAATTATGGATACCATTACTACCACTATATTCAAAATAGTTTTGAATAGGACCTTTGTATTTTCGTAGTAAGAACATGTTTTAATTTTATTTCAAAGTATTATAGTTAAATAAAAACTTATAAGTAATGTATTGTCAGATGTAGATACGATTGGACATTTTTGTAACTGATTGTACTTAGGAAATAAATTAATGAATCCAATATTACTATATCCTTTCACGCAACTCATATGATATTTTTTAAAAAGAATTATAGTGTAAAAAAGTTTAGATATAAACATGTCAATTCAATGAACATAAAGCAAAAATAACACATTTTTGTATTTGGAATTGATAATTGAATATTTTTAAAGACGTTGTCGTGTCTAACACGCATTATGATGTCTAATACAAACATTTATTTACATTTTTTTTTCTAGAATAACGTGACTCAACATTCTAGATGGCGCCACTAGTCTTATCGAAACATTCCAAATTCAAACAAGAAACTGTTTTATGTTTGGCATTCCTTTCAACTATACAATGTCAATAAGTTATACATATAATTGTATACATATGTTGGTCACATTATTCATTACAATTTATATTAAATATTAATCACATCGAATTTGATACATCAATGTATTGGGAACTTACACGTGCGTATTATGTATTTGATACATTTCTTTCTATCTATTTATAACACATAATTAATATGACCTTCTAATGTCAACATATACATACACACACAGTCAAATAACCATATAAATATATTATGAGATAACTATAGATTTAGGGGATGAAACAATAAGAAAGGTGAATTAAAAGTAAACACTTAAAACATAGAATACAAAGAAAGACTAGAAGAAATCTATGTTGATGGTGAGTTATTTTTTTTTTCATCCCGTCTATTTGAAAAACAATTATTGGTTCTTAAAGTTGTTCCGTAAGCGAATTTTCAAAAGATTAAATATAAATTTTTAGTTCTTACTTTGTCTATTATGCATTTAGAAAAAAAGTATTTCTATCACTTGTTTAGTGCCTATACTTGTTTTTTTAATATAAATAGTACATAACTCATCCTGCGCTATCGGTATGCACTGGCAGTGTCTATGTTATAAGTTCTGAGTGGTCTAGGACTAGAGGGCGCTGTATAACAGGTTCAGTATTATTTATTTACTATTTTTCTTATAGACGGGTATAAAAATTAGAATGTATCACTCGGTCGCAATAAATTGCATTCGTTTCCTTGTACAGTTCTTGGCGTGTTATTATTTTGCTCCCTTGTGATACAATCTTATGTACTTTGATAAAAACTATAATACTACATAGGCACTTCAGAAAAATCAGCAGCTAGAAATACTCAGATTAGTCGACGCTAATACTATTGTAAAATTATATTTAAATAAAAAATGAACTAAAATAAATAAACAAAATTTAAGACACCGCAATTAGGTACTCGATTATTACACGACTAAATCAAATGCGTCCCATCTAGTATAAAAAGTTTTTCATTCATAACATTTTAATAAATAAAAAAAAGTTAATAAAGAAAAAACTTAAATAAAACAGATTTGCATAAGACAAAGAGAGGTATTATAGATAATTACAATTAATTAATTCGAAATTTGCAACTTATAATTAAAATGACAAATATTTTATTATGACATAATATATTATTTAAGTATCTATCTATATACAAATCAGAGTCCACAAGTCGTGCCAGCGTCGTTTTTTTTTTTTTTATTTAATATTTGTAAATAATTATACTTAATATTATTATATTAGTATGTTAATACTAATATTTTATATTTAACACCGACGTTACAATTTGCTAATTTTGTATACGTTTCCGATGAAAGGCTTCATCGAACGATGTTGATGAAGGCTTTCATTGATTAGAAATGAAGATACAGTTATCATTACTTATTAAATACAAAGTTATATTTATAGGTATAAGTTATTTTTCTTTTTCGGGGATCAACTGAAAGTTATAATTAAAAAAATTTATTTGTATTTAACTACCTATATACTTAAATTTTTACTGCATTTTAAACTTTGATCGTAATTTTTTTTTTATATCAACTAATAGTTTACAAAGATATTAAAAAAGAGAATGTATTAGAATAGGTGTATTTAAAATGATATTGATAATGATAATTTTTATTTTTATTGGTATAAATGCGTTTTCTTCTTTAGAGTGGACACACTATAGGGTGTATATGTAAGTTTCAAATTAGGACACATAGATACCTTGTTTACAATAATCAGACATTTTATTACCTAATACTAAAATAGTACCTTATTTTATTAATTAATTCATTTATCATATTATTATGCCACATGTATTGTTATTAAATAAGTAAGTTTAAGTTATGTAACGTAAATTTGCTATATAATTCTACTTTGACTTTATTTACCTGCCAGTATCATAAAATAAAATATTTTCACTATTATATCTTGTGTTAATATTATCTTTTTATTTAAACTATATTTTGCCTATAAAGATATTTTAAATTGAGAACTTGACTCTATTTACCATGTCTACCAATAAAGCCTTTGGATATTTAGAAAATAATCTTGTTTAAGTATGAGTGTCTTGGTATTTTTTTTTTGGTTGGTATTTTATTAATAGTGTTTTGCACTTTAACAAATGAACTATTTATATTAGCAATTAATTAATTAACATTAAAATCGTAAATTGTAATAAATCAGATCTATATCAAAAGTAAGACGTATAGGTAAAATAATAAAAAAAAAACATTAAAAATATTATTATAGCATAGTATTTACTATACTAACTATAAATGTCACTGTTTTAAAAATAAGTCTACTTTATGCCCGAGATATGTCTTTACCGATTTTGACTAGAAGATAGAGATATATATGTCAATTCATTTTATATCAATTTTTCTTAACAGTTACATGGATAGACGATGTTGACTTTTAAATATTAAATCTCGTATGAAAAAAAAAAAATTAAATGTAAATTAATTTTAAACATTTTAAAAACTTTAGCAACATTTAAAAATTAATCATAACCTCCTTTTAATTAAGTTGAATTTCGTATCAATCAATCACATTCGTGTTTACTTAATATAGAAAACTAATCAGAAGTTAATTACTATTTGACGCAAATAGAAGGTCAAATTACCCAAAAGTATATTTTTACAAACCGAAGGATCATTTTATAACAAACTTGTATGAAATGCTTTCTACATTCAACCTTAAATCTGTGGCATCAAGGTTGCATATTAATTATAAACAGATCTAATAAATATTCGAAAACATTAGGGAAAAGAAATCTACTGATATATATATAGTATACAATATAAATATGTGTATTTAATATTTAAAGGGATGTTTATACAAGAAATTACCAGTATCCTTAATAATCACCTCATTATATTAATAATTTCATTTTTAATTCTTGTAACAATACAGCAATTATATTGTTAAAAGTTTTTTAAGTAAACATTATATTTTAATGTAAGAAAACTCGGATTACATACATACATACATCTGTCACACATGTCAGAAACAATAATACGCTAAATGTTTGGATTCCAACAACCCGGATTAAAATACACCCGGATTAATATACAAGTTAATCCGGGTGTTCTTCGCATCATCATCGCGATTATTGATATTACAATATATTATTGTTTGTTTTACTGCAGTACAGAAGAAAACTAATTATTTTGTAATTGCCTTCTGTTAGTCAATTATTACTTTTTAGTTTCATATTTTATTATAAACATAATAACATAGTAGTCATTACAATTATCTAATAATTTACTGTTGTTACATTGAGATTTAAAAAAAAAATAAAAAATTCAAGTCTTCATAATTTCATACATAATTCTACCCTGTTATATGAGGAATGTTATGTATTTTAACAAGCTACAATCTGATATATAAAAAAAAACAACGAGATCGAATAGAAATTTCAAATGTGGAATGATTAACTAAATTTAAAAAAAATGAAGTATTAAAAGCAAACCTAAAAAGCAGTGAAATAAAAATAATATTTTTTTAATTTTACGGTCTTAATCAGCTAAAAAAATTAACTAAAAATGTGACCACTAATCTCATTAAACTTATCATTGTAATGGAGATTATAAATTTTTATACTTAACGACATCTAGCGGTGACAATAATAAGTACCACTAGATGGAGTCAATGCAAAATGTGATACATAGACAAAAATCACAGAAAAATATTACATAAGTCAAATTTCGATAAAAAAAAAAACATTAGAGATAGTTGAGGAATGATAAGTCAAAAATAATACCACTAAGATCTTTCCCTCTTTCTCTAATCTCCTTCTCCTCTTATTAAAAATAGAATTTGTTATATAGGCGACTGAGATATTGCACAAAGATTCAGCAATAATTTTTTTTTTGGTATATTATTTTATATAGTTTTACATTGTATTTCGTGTCTTATTATTATCATATATAAATAATAAAGTTTTTAAATTTATATTTCATCATTTTATACATCCACATTATATATTTGTTTTTAGACACACTATCAATGTTAAATATTGTTTATATTTTACAACAAAGAATATACAATATCACTTAGTAAGTTTTTTTTTTTAAATTAGCTGAAGAGAATATAAGATTTGTCGTAATTAATACAGCAAGATTAAGTAAGCGTTCAAGAAATTGAAGAACTTTGAATTTATTTAATTTTAAACTTTCGTGTTGTTTAAACATATTTAAATACTGTATTTACTAATTTTTTTTATAGCATTAAGTCCTGATAGTGTATATTCATAATTAAATGAATTTATTTGAGTTTTATCTTGGTACACATATTAATACTTACTAAACCATGTAAATGATTTTTTAACACAGATAAATTTTACTTTAGCTGTAAGCTGATATTTAGGATATGAATATACCCTGCATTTTAATACACAGGTAATTTAATGTAACATTTATTCTTAAAGAAATTCAAAGATTTCTTTACACATTATAAATATGTTAATTAAGTGAGATATATAAAGTCCATAATATAAATTGGACTATGAGAAAGGATAAGGGACTATGTTTAAACATGTGGTCAGCTTTTACCCAACATTTTCTCAAATATTTGGAATAAAAAGACAAAATTACATTCATTTATTTTCATAGCAAGATTTACCTCTTCATGGTCTAAGTTTACTTTTAGATATGAAAAAGAAAATGAAAAACCGCTTTACATGAATTGTAATACATGATTCATTTTGTATAACCCGTCAAATTAAATAGGCCTCTCGCGTTAAGAGCGGAATATTAACAGGTTTGTGCAGTTTCTTTGACGGGTTATATATAATGGATTCGATTTGTATAACATGAATTAAATCTTACCTCGATTCATGTAACACTGGTTTTTAACCCATGCTTAGTAGTCCAAATATTCCTTCATACATTACAATTTTGCTAATATCCCGTGATTTACAACGTGCTGGCTTCTAGTTCTGGAATGCGGTTGAAATTCAACGGTGCCTTATGCCAATAGTAGAAGGGAGGTCCAGCTGAGAAACAATACTTCTGTTCCAGTGGCGAGTCGTTTTGAACCCAGTACATTAGATAGAAGTTGCACATTTCGTCCTTATTCGTGGCTCTGGGGAAATTTGAAAACATACTTACTTCAGTTATTGCTTCCAAACATATTCATGCAATGGTCGCGCGTTCTGATGTAAAGAAGTTATAGGCCGTACAAAAAGGATTAACATATCTTTTGACGTTTGCTTTTCATTTAAAGCAAACGTCAAAAATTAAAGAAAAAAAAAGCAGTTAAAAAATAATACACGAATCTAAGTTTTGCGTTAAGAACTTGGTGATTAGATCATATTTCACCGAATAAACTATGCTCGTTCATAGTAAATTAGTAACAATATATATAATTAATATTATAGAAAAAGGAACAAAGGACTGGGTTTGGACAGGTCAAATAGAGAAAAACAAATTTTACTTATAAAATAAACAATTTTATAGTGATGTAATGAGAATATATTGTATATGCCATATCTCTTCCAATTTACCACTTTTTCTTTCTAAGATATCGTATGAACCAAAAAACAACAAATAAAAATACACCAGTGCAAGACAAGGTAAAATGCCAAGAAGGAAAACAGGAAACAGGAAACAATTATTATTTTTACATTTAAAAATGTGTGCCCACTAACCTCACAAAATTTCTACCATTGTAATAGAGATAATAAATTTCTATACATAACGACATCTAGCGGTGACAATAATATTTACAACCAGTGATAAAAAGACAAAAAAATACAGAAAAATATATAATTCCAATTTCAATGAAAACAATTAGAGATAGTTAAAGAATTAACAAATGGAAATTGGTCTTTTCGTGGAGAAAATATTAAAACTTTCAAACCTAGCAGTGGGCCGTTAATGGGTCATTAAGATAAAGAAACAAACACTTACCCGATGTTAACAGGGAAATCATTGGTGTTGTTCATAGTGCATCGGGCTGCTAAAACGTCGTCTATACCAATCGGCGAGTCGTTCACAACAGGGTAAAACATTTGAGGCAACTGCGGGTCCTTTTTGCCGATAAGCTGCCAATCGTCGCCGCTGTCCTTTCGGCGAACTACGTATCCGGATACCACTTTGCCTGTAAGGTACATACTTAGATTATATAAATAGAGTATCTCCATACAAATACTTCAAGAAAAGAGGATCAACATTTTCATATAATTTTGCGTGATAAATAATTATGAATGTTCCCTTTATAACTTCTATATTTATTTTGTTTTATAATTTTTGCATCTTTTTAGTGCTTAAAAAGTAATTTTATTAATTATATAATGAAATATAGATACGTCAAGATACATTGTGCGTGAGTATAAAGGACACTGATAAAAAAACGAGTCAACTAATTTGATAATTAGCTGACAAAAAGTTAAGCCGTTTCTGAGACTCGATGCTCTATCTATATAATCTAAGGGTACATATTATTTTACATTTTTATAATTATATATATTGGACATCATAGATCATCATACATGTCATGCTTTGCCATTCCTGAGGACTATGGTGTTATGTAGGTCCCGGTATAGAATAGGCCACCCCTTCCTATTCCGTAAAAGCTGACTAAGGGAACTTAATGGTCCAGACATGGTCAGCAACGTCCCTTTTAAAACATCACCAAAGCCAATTTGTGGTTCCCAACCCGCCTGCCAAGCGTGGCAGCTACAGGCAAAACCCCCCTTATGAGGGAGCCTATATTCTGCAGTGGACAGTTAACGGCTGATATTATGAACAGCTTGGTGTTGTGCCTCTATACCTTGTAATCTCATTACCATATTCCTTCAAACCGAAACATGGCCTTGCATGCACAACAGCTTCACGACAAAAATACGGATATATTCTTTTACGGAAGCGAAACCATAGCGAGCTGAAAATAATCTTAATTGTATAAAACTCACCAAGTGCATGAGTGTGCGTCCTGAATGCAAACGGATGTATGACCTTGTCTTCGCGGACGGTGCACGCTGTCTCCATGTGCTCAATGCCGTTTGGCGGCACCATCCCACCAGTGCCGAGTAGTATCACGCCGGCTTGCCGTGGCATACTGAAGGAATAAGTAAATAAATAAACACTCCTAGATATATGTCATTCAGCGCCATCTACACACAAACTAAGTAACTTGTGCTAGGGATACTAGAGAACTGACTTTTTTTAGAACAGAAGATTTTTTTGGAATATAAGAATCATACTCACAACTTTTTTAAGGTATGATACACCGCTACACTACTAACGTTGTCTAAGTTATTCATTATCTCTCACTGGAAAGAATAGGACTCCCTGGTGATACATTTAAGGTTGTCACTCCTCTGGAGTATATAGATCGCCTTGTCTTTCTTCTATATAGGTTATTATCATGAGCAAATATAAATTCACACAATGGCTGTTTATATACACGGCTTACGATGGCACTAGAGAGTGCGACAATTTCTTTTATTTGTCGTCTTTATTTTTAGATACACATTCAAATTCATTTATTTTGAATCATAATCAATTTATATAGCTTTGCCTATTGTCATATTCCAGGAATAAGATTTCCAACAAATGATCCGACTCGAAGGACTCGAGAAGGAGAGAGACAGAAAGATTATATATCTCCAAAACAGACAATGCAAAGAAGTTAAAAAATAATGTTAAATATCTAATATTTAAAAACTTACTGTTTCTTTGTGTACTTGAGAAATACTCCCGAATTGTCGGTTTTGCCTCCTGAAATTATATAATACACGAATCATGCATAATTCAAATTGTTTTATAAAACGCCAATAAATTAGTCACATCCTATTAAGTCGGATGCTTTGTAATCAAATGAATTTATGTTTATTGATTTTTAATAACATACCTCATTATGTTTATCAACAACTCGGTATCGAGGTATATTTTTATAATTATTTTTATTTCATGTGGTACTAAGATAAAATTATTGATATAATATTTTTTTTTTTTATTACGAAGATGGCAAACAAATTTTCATTCTAGCTTATGAACACCTATGACACTAGGGGTGGCACTTGAATATTATACAAAAAAAAAAAAAAATTCAGAAAATTTTACTACAGTTTGTAAGGAACTAACGAAAATCAATTCAGAATTGACAAAGATATTGCATAATAGAAGTACAGAAAAAATTGCAGCTAAACTGAAAAGCTACAGGAGGTTTTAAATTATTAAGATTATATTTCAAGTTTCATGGCACACGATCTTAATTAATTAACAAATGGCAGTATAATTATTTCGCTGTTTGATTTCGGCATAGAATAGGCCATCCCTTCTTTTCCCGTGGAGGTAGTAAGAGGCGACTAAGGGGGAGCGAGGGTGGTCAGCAGCATTCCTCTTAAAACATCTCTAAAGCCTAACTGCGGTTGTAAATCCACTTGTCAAACGTGGCTACTACTGGCAAAATCCCCCAAGGGGGAACTTTATGTTCAGCAGTAGATGGTTCAAGATAGATTTGCCCATATATAATCCTTCCATTTTATATTTCTTTTAACACGTTGGTTAGCTATTTATAATCAATCAGTGTAAATTTGTTGTAATATGTAACACAACAATACCTATAATCATAAGTATGACGAAGGTTCAATCGTCATATTCGTGGACGCCTTTATAAAAATCATAAATAGATTTCATACCTGGAAAACCATGCATGTAATGCACTTGCAGGACTAAGTACTTGATAGGCGAGTCCTTTCCAATGAGGAAACCGACGTCCTTGGGCAGGTGAAGGCTTGGTGCGTCACGGGCCCAGGCGTACACAATCTGTAATAGTGGAACATTTGTGATATTTAAAAAATGAGTTTTATAAAATTTCTAAGCGTCTTTTTCTGTATTTCTCTCTGCAAGTAATTCATTTTAAATTAAGCTGTGTCCAGCGACTTTGAACAGTTAGTCTAAATTATATCCTGTGTTATTTCATTATAATCAAATATTTTTTTAATTTATTAAAATATATTTAAATTAAATACCATTTAAACAAAAAAAAAAGAACCTTTACAAATTAAATATGATATAAATTATTCAGAAAAATTAAAGTAATTTTTGGTGTGTTTTGTAACTCTATGTTTTAATTAGGTATTAGCTTAAAACAAAAAGACAACACTATTATAGGTTTTTTAGATGTTTGAGATTTTTATACGGGGGTTAGTAGATATAAATAAGAAAAGATGTGACAAGATGTAAAATAGTCATCATAATCATCTTATACCAATTATTATTCAGGTTCGACGTAATGTTTTTCTCTTCCGTTCTACTCTATTTGCAGTAATTTCCGCATTCAGTACCATTCGGGCCATATCATCTCTTACACAGTCCATCCATGTCTTTATAGGTCTTCCTCTGCCCATATAGCCATCTGCATTCCCATTTAATACCTTTTTTAAAATATGCTCCTTATCACTGCACATCACATGTCCATACCAGGACAGACGGTTAATCCTTAACTGTTCTATCACGATGTAAAATAATAACAGACATAATATTTAGACATATTTAATGGGTGGTGTTCGTACTCATGAATGGAAGGGTAGGTTTTTTTTTGTTTTTAATGGGTGATAATGGAATGGTAACCCCACCCGCGCTATCGGTATACACCGGCGTGGCACCAGTGAAGGATGATAGATGAGGATGAAGCAGGTCAGTTAACCCATCGTGACGAATTCAATAAGAATTGTTCACGATGGTTTTCAGGGGGAACCACGTGGAGGTCGACCTAATAGGGCAAATTGCTTGCAATGGGGCTGTCAAACTCCATTGCTAACAATCCCTTTCCCCCCCGGAAAGGTAGGTTAGGTATTACAAAACCCTTTTAATCTTTTACCAACTCATGTTGATAGGACCAAAGATTTGCTGGTAAAACTAAGATATTACCAATGCATGAACTTTTATAGTAAATATAAATTACCTGAGACCCAGAACGGCAGGGACTGGCTGTGTTGTACATATCATCAATCTCGTTGCTTTGCATCTCACCACAACTCCTGGAAATTGAGAGTCAGTTAAATTTCTTTGTATCTTTATATCCATTTATTGAAATGTTAAATATTAAATACATTTGCATAATTCAAGCAAATATATTACAAAAAGCAAATAACATAACAGCCTTGTAAGTTACAAGTTTATCTCTAGTATAGATGAATATCCATCGATTATATTGCATCGAAAAATATACCACGTTAGAGGCTCTCGTAAAACAGATGGCCTTGAAACTTGACGCTAGAGGGCAGCACCCTCGCACAAGTAGTAATAATCACATTCAGAGTTTCCTGACCAGTCAATTGCGTTAATAATATAACTCAATTGGCATCCTTCATTTGATTTGAAGGCGAATGAATTGAAATTCGTTACTTCTGCCGAAATCGAACGTTTAGTTCGCCTTTAACCACGAAATACAGCAAACATATAACAACAGAACGAGCAATAATTTTGAAATTGTTAAAAGTGACAATTTCAGAAATGTTTTTGTATTTTTTTTTAATTGATGAAAATAGAATGATACCTCTCCTTATGCTTCTGTATACACGGGCGGAGTACCAGTGATGAATAGCAGATGGAGAACAAGTCAAGTTTATAGACTCCTTGTGATGAATTCATTAGGAAATGACCGTAATGGCTTCTAGATGGAATAGAGTGATGGGTACCTACATTATTGACAAAGACCACTTGTCCCCATTACCTTTTAATATATTTCCCCTCGAGTAAAATGGTTGATAGTCGCGATTTCATTATTAAGTCATAGTACAGAGGTGATAATGTACCTACGAAATCCCCCCTGATATACATATGTTTATAAAGAATATTGAAATTGACTTACCATACTGAATCATTGGAACCCGGTTCAGAACAGCCATAGAGAAGCATATGATGAGCAGTATGCATAGACGCGTTCGGTTCAAATCCCACTGAAACAACATATATATATATAATAATTTTTAATAGGTACATTCGCAATAACTTGCAATAACAAAAAACAAATATAAAAATGCTTAAAAAAGACACCATTATTTTAAATAAAATAGTATTCAGAATCAGAAATTACGAATATAACACTAAAAGGACATACCTATATAATAGTTGGTTTGTGGTGAAATCCTTATCGGGGTGCAGAGGTACAGCTCGTCCTAAAATTAAAATAAACGAATCATACTTAATTCAATACATTAAAATATTTATTTTTCGAAATTAATATATTCATCTTAACCAATGAAAACATTTTAATGAACGGTCTTATAAAAATCATAAATCAAACCCAGAACTCAACTGAGGCAAAAATCACGTATTAATGCGCTAGTCTGTGAAAGTATTCTACAGTTCTTTGTGTGTGTAGGTATCTACTGTTTTTCATTTATCAATAATAATATCATACAATAACGGAAAATAAAATTTTTCATCGACTACACTCATGTACTGTTCTATAATAACTATACATCACTAATAAATATACAATTCTCATAGCTCGTCGTTGCACTGAGTCGAAGGGTATGAATATATGGGTATGAATTTTTTATATATTTCTTATACTAATTCCACGCAAAAAGATTTGATTACGTAATATGGATGCCAGTCTGTAATAAGAGTCAATATTGTAATTGGATGAACTAAATAAACTATTAGAGTAGGCGTTATAAAAACCAAGTTTAAATATCATTACAAAGACTGAGTAAACATCACCTATAAAATCCACTTAACGACACTCCTACGCGCGAATGTAGGCGTATCGAAGTGGATATTGATCAATATAATCTTTATCAGTGGTCAATTTGATTCCCATCATGTGGATAGAATAGAACTGATATCTAAATTAAATCGCAAATGGCAAAATTGACGATAGACTTTATGGTTTATTGCAGAGAGTCTTATCTTTAACATTAAATACTTCTGTATTTTTTTTTGATGGGTGAAAATGGTATGGTAACCCCGCCTGCGATAACGGGATACGCTGGCGGAGCACCAGTGAGGGGTGATAGATGAGAATGAAAACAGGCCAGTTAGCCATGATGAATTCATCAGGAATTAACCATGATAGTTTCCAGGGGGAACCGCGAGGAGGTCGACTTGGTTGGATATATCGCTAGCAATGGGATTCTCAGTCTCCATTACTAACAATCCCTTTCCCCCCAATACTTCTGTATTAACCTGTATTCGAAAAAGTTATCTTTCATTCATTTATGGAATATAGCACATACTAAGTTATCAAGGTCTGAATAAACAATATTATGTGACCTATGCCCTTAGTTACACCAATTAATTTATTAACAGTATGTTAAATGGGCATGTGAGGCAGGGAATAAGAGAATGTGGTAAGAAGGTATTACGTATGAACATGGTTATAAGTACAGAAGAGGGGGGTGGTAGATTGTTAATCATACTGTTAGCGCAGGCTGGGTCACCATTTCATTAACATCCAACAAAAAAAAGTACAGAAGACCCAGAAAAAGATAGACGCACTGTTAGAAAAATGACACGGCCTGAAAGGAAATGACTAGTGAGATGAGTGCTAATAGAGACGAATGAAAGAAAATATATTATGCCGACTCCAAATAGTTATTGGAAAAGGGCATGAAGAAGATATTATATGTGTATATATGTATGTATGTATCTATATATGTTTGTATATGATAATATTTATATAATAGTGCGCCACCTACTCTTTGTCTTTTTCTCAATGTCCTCTACCCAAAGGTTGTCTGGAAGAGATTGCTTAGCGATAAGGCCGCCTTTTGTATCACTTCTCATTAATATTTACTGTATTTGTTATTTCTCTTTTTACTTGGTGCAATAAAGTTTAAATAAATAAATAAAATAAATAAGATACTTCCCTATGTTCAATGAACAATTCAATAATTAATTTATACTCGTATCAAGGCTCATTAATATTTTTTTAATGGGTGAGAATGGAATCATACCCCCCATCTGCGCTATCGGTATAAGCTGATGAGGTGAGAGTGAGTGACCAGTGAGAGCTATCGTGACGAATTCCAGAAGAATTAACCACGATGATTTCCAGGGGGAATCGCTTGGACATATTGCTAGCAATTGAGCTGTTTTTTTATGGTTTGCGGTACAGTATTCAAGGCATCCCGTCCTCGCTATTGGATACGGGTGACGGAATGCCTATACAAGAGGGTACATGGTGGGCGCAGTTTAGACGCAATATTTGAGGAGCATTAGGAAGGCAAATGAACGGCCAGATACTGCAACAAATGAGTACGTGGTCGACCCCCGAACTGTTGCAATTGGGCTGTTATTACTAGCAATTCCTTTCCCCCTACACTCACTAATATTATATACCAGCTTTTATCCCTTACTTCAACCAGAGATAAGTCTATTGACTAAGAAAGAAAACACTTGTAGCCTATATCTTTCTTTATCCTATATTGGAAGTATATACCAAATTTCATAACAATTAGTTAAACCATTAAGGAGCCAAGATGAACAAACCCCAATTTTTGCATGTAGTTGTGATTTCAATTGGTAGCCCTTGATTCATTAACGACTAAACTATAGAATACACCCAGAAGGAAAGCTTTTATGATGTGCTGAAAAGTATGTAAGGATTGCTTAAATTAATATAATATATATTTTTATAATAGCCACTAATAATTACAGCTTGATCACAGCATCCTTACAGCACAGCATAACTTACCGTACCATACAGCATATGTTTATACTCAATTACACAGTATTCACAGCAGTATATTTGTTATTTAAACATGCTTAAATAGCTGAAAGAATTCGAATGAAATTTGTTTATATCTAACTTAATACATAAGGCAATTTTATACCAATTCACGTGAAATAAAGTCGCAGACTATAGATAGTTTCTTATAATAATAATTTTTAGTAAAATTCTTCCATTTTATTTAATTTAAGATAATGTATTGTTAGAGTGCACCTATAGATGCGAGCAGTTCAATAATATATGCAATGAAGCGGCTTGTGCAGGGTCAGCTATTATCCAATTATTATCCTATACCGTGCATATATTGAAACAGATGTTCCAAATAACTGAAGCCCTGGTTTTCACAAACACACGCAAAAACTTAAAAGAGATGAACTGTAACTGAGGCCACAGGAATACAGATTTTATAATCTACTTACTACTATAGAGTAGTAAATATACTATAGAGTAGAGATACATTTAAGCACAGTAGCATGATGTATCACGCTAGAGACTATCTCTCACTTTCTCTTAGTACCAATTTGTAGTATATTTCTTGATAACCTTTTCAATAAAAATTATATTGGAAAGTTTACCAAGTTTTGTTGAAATTATTAAAAAACACTGCCTTTTGTTTTTATGCAACTTACAATGGCAAAAACGCAGATATCCCACCGGATGGAAAATGTTAAACTACACCTATAGACAGGAACAGTACAGTAGATATAATAGAGTATACTGGACATAGTATACTCTATTATATCCACTGTACATTATATTATTGTAGGGCATTATGGACGACAATCCATAATGCCCTTCAAGTGTTGCCCTTCCTGAAGTATTATGCCTCTACAGCCTATAATTTCATTGTCTTATCTCACCTTTCAAACCTAAATTAAATTACGATTATTAATTTCTAACTGAAATTACTTACAAATCAAGACATTCAATCAACTGATCAATTTTTAATTTGTATTAAAAGTATATTCCACCAAACAGACTTCAATTGTGGCAATACTAGTTATTTTTATTCTTAAACTACCAAACTGATTGTGATAAAATTTCTAAGTGGCCGATTTGAAAGTACATCCTTTTGAATGAAAAAATATTTTTTTCTAAATCTGTAACTGACGGAGTTATGAGGTAACAAAAGAAAAAAAAATACAACAAAATTGAGAACCTTCTCCTTATTTGAAGTCAATTGAAAATAAGAAAATCGTGTTAAAAATATCAAAATCCATCAAAAATCAATGAAGATATTGAGCCATACCAAAATTGTATGAAGTACCAACAAATAACAACAAAATTATTTTGGTAGTGAAAAATAATTCATCAAATAAGTACCTAATAGCTGTTATCAAAAAAATTACTTTTCCAAGGTTATACCTATCCAATTTACAATTTCATGGGCATTGTACATTCAAAACTGTTGATTTAACAAGTACCTAAGGTACTAAAGATATACTGCTGTATTATGAACTTATAGCCATCATTACTTTTAAATTATCTGACATTTTATAAAAAAAGAACTTAAAAAATATAAATCTTTTTTTATAGTGATATTATACACATTTGCTTGGATACCTCTGTCCCATTTGTGTTTCAACCGTGAAGCAATTGTATTTGCATGGCTGTGTTTCGGTTTGAAGGGTGGGATATAGAGTGAATTTACTGGGTACAGAGGAATAACACCTGAGTCTTCAGGAATGACAATGCATGGGGGGTATCATGGGGGAAACAGTATACTTTATTATGTCTATGGTACTGCTCTTGTCTATAGGCGACAGTTACCATTTTACATCAGGTGAGCCATCAGCTTGTTTGGCATTCTAAGTTGTATTAAAAAAAAAACCATTATATTATAAATAGTATAATTTCATAAATGTACATTTATATATTAGATAAACAAAAATAATACACAAAAAAAAATTATAAAGTTAATTTTCATTATTTAAAAAGCTCTGATAGCAGACTACAATATAAAATATATATAATAAGATCTTAATAATCTGAAATTTTACAACATTGTGAAAAAGTATTTTTTAACTTCAAAACCAGAATATAAATGATGAAGTTGGATAATTTTAGTAGCTTTATAATGTTATAATCATTACTTTTGATACACAAAATGACTACAAATCAATCCTCACAAAATTATAGATAAACCCTATAATTTAAAAAAAAATCAACAAACAATAAGAATTAGTAAAGATCTAGCATAAAATAGCTGTAGGAAAAAAATAACAGTTGAATTGAGAATGAACATTTAAAAATGAATTAATAATTAATATAATTATTTTAATTACATGGTAGTTTAGCAAAGCTACCACATGTTATCAGACACCACACAATAATATTAATAAACAACTTGATCTAGAACACCCAAGCTGGAGTCAATTTAAATTTCTTTTTTTTTTTTCTTCTTAAATTGACTCTACTGGCAATTAAAAATTATTTTATAAAACTAAATTGCTCTACAAAATGTACATTCTGAAAATGAAATCTATTCTGAATTTAAATTTAAAATACATATAAATAGTTATCTTTATGGTAACTATTAATATTTTTTTTTAATACAAGACACAAGTAGAGTTGAATACTTACCAATTTTCACAAATTATGTAAGAATTTTTTAGAATGTTTAAAGTACAGTCAGTGGATGCAAGAGATTCAAGATCATTCCTTGTGGAAGTCAACAAGACAAAAATTAGGAACAGGTACAATAAACAACTAAAATTATACTTTTACAAAATAAATAATTACTATTTAGGTGCTAAAGATAATTTTTAATTTTTTTATTTGAAATCATTCTGTAAAATGTAGTCAAATTGCCAGGTACTTACCCTATGAGGCCAAACATTGGGCATGAGAAATTCATAGGTATCCACTTCATAAGCGTTCGTAAATACAAGATAAATACTTAACGTGGCCAAAATTCTAAGAAACATTTTGTTCGTGTCAGAAAATATGAGAAAAACTTAATATAAACTGCACTAATCGAACGGTATTTCCCGCCACGCAAATTATAACACCTATGCTAATTTCTAAGATAACAATATTCAATAAAGTACGGTTACACTCTTTGAAGATTGATTTTTCTCTGAAGGTGGCCAAAACTAAGTGTTTGTGTATTTTAAACGATACCAATAATACGATCGATAAAAACACAACTTGTTACTTGCTACGAACGTCATAGACTGGGTTGTCAGCTAATAATTTTCCCCATAATCGAGGTAGACACCGTAGGTACGTCATAGAAGCAATTCTAACAAAATATCTGCCTATTGGGAAATAAGATCATGAACATACAAAGGATATATTTTTATTAATTTATATTAAATAAATTCTTTATAATTTATACAAGAGAATATTATTTTTTAAAAGGTTAGCGGTACACTTGCAAATCCTCCAGTGTTGTGATTTCCTATGGGCGACGGTAGTCATTATCCAACAAGTAAACCGTTCACTCGTAAATATTTTCGATGAACTGTTAACATATCGAGTGTTATGTTTATCACACAATAACGTCAGTATCTAACAAATGATTTATTACAAATTATAGATATGAGCATATTTATTTTAATATTATTTCCAATTTATACATTATTAACTAAAAACTGGGTATTTGTTCGGCGTATAAGGTAAATTTTATTTAGGAAAATGGTAATATTCAAATGTCAAACATTATTTGAAACGGTATTCTCGTTTGAAGACATAAAACGTCAAAACTTCTCGCTTTATGTTTATCGAGAATAGCATGTAACTTTTATTTTACTTTTAACGATAGATGCCGCTAGTTAAATAATATTCGATATGTACCTTTATATTACATAGATGGCAGTGTTAAGAAAATATTTTTGTGGTATTTTTCGAAGAAGGCAACATTGTTACTAATACAAAACTATAGACCAAAGCGAATTTATTGGTTTAATTCAACTAAAAATAAAGATATATTAGCATTATGATTAACATTGAAGGTTGGAAAAATAATATCACAATCATAAGTCAACGATAAAAAAAAAACAAGCTAGTATTTGTAAAGTTTTATATATCACACAAATATTATAATAGGTAGATAATTTAATTTAGGGTAATTTATAGTCATTAGAGATATCGAAAATAGGTGTTTTTTTTCATTCCCGAGATGATATTCGTAATGAACAAATAAATCATGGTTCGTTTTCACTTCACAATTATGCAAAGCATGCTTGTATTTTTTTATTATATATCTATTTAATGCAACATCTTGACCGATTTTGTTTATTGTATGAGAACATAATCAGCTCAGTTGGCTCACTATAAGGAATTCACTAGGAATTAACCACGATAGAAACACGATATTTTACAGATAAATTCTGTAAAAAGTTTCCGACTGGTAGATTCTGTACAAAAATGTAACATAAAAAATTTAATGCTAAGTATATCATTAGATAAACTAAAAAAAAAAAACTTTGTGCAAAACTCTATCACAAAAAATGTGAGATTAAATATTTAGGTCGATATTGCTTTTGTTGGTGCCTGGCGTTTAGCATAGCAACATTAGCACAGATAAAAAATATAATAATAGTATAAAAAAGATAAAAAAAAAAAATTAAATGATGTGATGAATAACCTAATTTATTATTATTATTGAAATTATACAAGATATAGTCTTTATCAATAGAATTTAATAAAGACATAAACAAACTAATAATCGGCCCGACTATACAACTAATATAGTCGAATATTGTTCAAAAGTAGTACAAATCGAAAATCGATTGAATATTTCAATTTTATTTAGAGTATTTCTGTGAAAATTTCAACTAAACTTGATTCTTTTCATTGAGTTCTATTGAAATCGATTACAAGACAACACATAACACTCATATAAGTAGGTACGATAAGGCTGTGTTATTGCTGAAGGCAATCTTTCAGTTTGGTTTAATATCAAGGGATAAAAGGGGTGTTAAATCACGCAAGGCATATCACAAATTGGCGTTTTATTGACATACCTACAATAAAATGTTTTAACGATGACCTCTGCTGACCTATTCTATGATTTGGTTATCTGTCTATTATTATTATATTAGACGTTAACTACCCATTATTGAATATAGACCTCCCAGGGTAAGGGGGGGGGTCTAGCCAGTAATGCCATGTTTAGCATGCAGATTGGCAACGACAGTTAGGCTTTGGTGATGTTTTAATAGAAACGCTGCTGCCCATCTCTCTACCATTAAGTTCCCATAGTCGGCTCTTACGACACCCACGAAAGAGAAAGGCCTCTTTCTATACCGGGTTCACACAGCAATCTGTATATTCTTCTTTTTCGAGTTACACCCCTATTGGAGGTTGGACAACAAAGGAGTAATTCTAATTTTTGAAACTGCTGCTCTGAAGAACGAGGTGGTATTACAGCAGTGATGACTCCTAGCGTCACTTCTTTTAGCAGCAATCTTACCTTAGATCTATCTATACGGATACCTAATTACTATTATAAATATACAGACTACCATCTCTATATTTTAGTCTAGAACTAATGAAAAGCGTTATTGTAGGTAAATTGCCTAAATACATACTTACTGTTAAATAAAGAATGCTGGCGACTATAATCAAAGTTTAAAAATAGTGTCTGCGTACCAACTATAATCTTAGATTGAGTAGTCAAAGGCATTTATATTTTTGTTTTTTTTTGTTATCTGTGGCATTACATACAGTCAACACTTCGTAAAATAATACTAATACTCGTAGTAATTAGTTATGGTGGCAATACAGTGAGTCAGTGTATAATGATAAATAATACAATAACAAGTCCAAGTGATCCTTTTGATTAGGAACCTTATTGCATTTATAATGAATAAATTATATAGCGAATGAAAGGGTGTACAAATAAAATGTAACTAAGTGACTACTTGCATAATTAATTTGAGCAAACACATAAGGAATAGTATATGTTTATCAGATTAACTAATATACTCGTTTTATCAATTGTATCGACAAAATAATAAGTTTGTGTTGCAATACGTCGACGTAGAATTACAAACGAATAATTTCTATTCGATTATTTCAGAACGAATATTATAAGATTTTATATGTTATTGTAATAATAAAAAAATGACTGAACAATTTGACAAGTTATTTGACAAAATTAAATTAGAAATTCAAAACCAAACCAATATAATAAAAGATTCTACAACGACGACTATACTAGAGAAAATTGATGAACGTTTCGAAGTTTCAGAAGATAATGAAACATTAGAATTAGAATCTGGAAGAATTAACAAAATTCAAGAAGATGACATAAAACAAATGACTGTGAAAGAGTTCCTTTTTTTATTAAATCATAATGATAATAGCCTCGAGAATCGTTTTCAATTCTTGTATAATAATAATGAAAAAAAGGCAGTTGATAATTTTGCAGTTTCTTCAGTAGACAACAATGTTTTCCAGAACAAAAATCCTGATTTTAATTTAGAGAATAACAATGAACCAAGTTTTATGGTACCAACTTTAAAAAGTGAGCCTTCAACATCAAAGGATCTTCAAAGAGATAAAAATATTTTAGTGAAAAGTTTTTCATATTCATGTAAAGAAAATGAAGATAAAATGTTTGATACTCCACCCGTATTTGTTTCTACAGATAAAAGTGTCACTGAATATGTGCCTCAGAAAAAACGCCTTGGTTTTTATTTAGGAGATAACCATGAAGAGAGTTTTGTATCACCAATTCTAAAGAATGAGCCTTCAACTTCAAACGACTTTCAAAAATATACGAAAAATACCGTTAAAACGGTTGATGCTTTTGCAGCTTCGCGTTCATTTGCTTCTACAGACAAAACTATCGCTGAATATGTGCCTCAGAAAAGACGTCTCGACTTTTATTCAGGAGACATTAATAAAGGGAGTTTTGTACCACCAGTTATGAAAAATGAGCCTTTAACTTGGAAGGACTTCCGAAAAGATGCGAAAAGTCTTTCATCTTTGGTCAAAGATCACACTGATACAACTGTTGACATTTTTACAGTTTCATCTTCATTTTCTTCTAAAGAAAAAAAGTCCTACCAAAAATCTGCGACAGAAAAGACGTCTTGATTTATATTCAGGAAATATTAATGAAGGGAGTTTTGTGCCATCAGTTTTAAAAAATGAGCCTTCAACTTCAAAGGACTTCTAAAAAGATGATAATTTTCTTAAAAAAAAAAAAATAAAAAAAAAACATATAATATTCGTAGTTTTATTCCACCTTAATTTGTCAATACATAATAAAAAAAAAAATTAAAATAATTTATTTACAGTAATTTTATTCATATTATTTTTTACAGTCTATATGCTATCTTGAACTGTTTAAAGGACAATAGTAGCGAAGATGAGGATCCTTTACTGTCAATTATGATGACACCAAACACAAATACTTATCTCCGAAAACACCATTGTCTATTATTCGGTCAGTAAATTTGATGATCAGTGACTATTATTGTGAACATTTGAGACACATTCGTAGCTGCTAATGCATAGCAGGCTTTTTAAAATGTTGTAGGCTCGTTTTGTTGTATCGCAAAGGGAAGCCTCGAAGGATCTTTCATTCCATCTAGTCGAATGCCATGTACATAGCAAACGAGGACTAATCTTTTTGGTGAGACGTGCAGTGGTTGAAGGTGAGAATAATTGCCGGTCATGTAACTCCACAGAAAATACTCCATTATATACACGGTAAAAAATTAAGAGAGAAGCGATGTCTTTTCTTAAGCCCAGTGAAAGAATAAGAGATGATAGATAAGATTGAAAACAGGTTAGTTGGTCCATCATGACGAATACAACAAGAATTATCCACAATGTTTTTCAAGGGGGACCAAGTACAGTTAGTTCGACCAGGTGAGTATGTTGCTAACACTGGAGTCCTTATAATTAACAATTCGTTCCCTCCGTTTGCCTGATATTGGGCTATCTTAGCCCAAAGGTGGGAACAGTACCCCACTTGTGATCATATTTGCGCTTTCTATAGTGAGTGTCTAGGAGTGAAATAAACTTTTAAATAAATATAAAATTTCTTATTTATGATAGAGTGAAATTTAAAGAATTATAAAATTTCATTTATTGTTCATCTAAATGTTAGATTGCGATGAGTATTAAATATAATTTATTAATAAAATCAATTTAATATCTATTATTAGAGTATAAGTTTGATATTTAACTTCTATGGTATATATAATTTTTTTTTATATTAATGACACATACAAAAAAGTAGTTTATATGAATTTTTAAAGATAATAACAGAATCATCAATTCGACCAATCGGTTAATATAAATCGAATAATTAAGTTGTTATCCAATTACGCAGCTAGGTATCAAAGATAAGGTATAAATAGTTTTATTTTCGAGTGATATGATAGGAAATAGACTAGAAATGCTACTTTTAAAAGAATAATGTTTGTGAATACAGTAAACAGAACGATCGGTTTGTTTTTGTATTTGTTTATATAACTACAGGTACAGATATTTCCAACATCTATGTCAGTCATATTATTCTTATTATCAAGTTTTACATTGTTTAATTAATTGTGTTCTTTATTTTTATGTTTCAAATAAAACAAGATAAAATGAATGACCAACTGGAACTATTGTTTAATAAAATGAAACTTGAAATGCAAAACCAGAAAAATCATGTGGAACATTTTATAACGAATGCTGTAGCAGTAAAAATAGAAGAAAAAGTCAGTGATTTTATAGACCAAAATACAAGTTATGCGTCGAAAGTTCAGGAAACGAATCTAAGTCGAATATATCAAAACACAGACATGCTCGATGAAAGAAACATGAATAAAATGGACAATACTACTTTGATGGATAATAAAAATATTGTAGTTTTTCAAAAGGACATTATTCATTCTAATGATAATATAGTCGAAGAAATTAATACAGAAGAAATAAAAGACATCAATGACAATAATAGTCCTACATCTTCATTCTCTTCTAAACAGAATGTCAGCAGACGAAGGCACAGGAATACACGTCAAAGTCAAGGAACAATAAAATACATGAAGCCAGATCCATCAGTTAATAAAGTATTTCGTGAGAAGAGAAAAATTGATTTTTATTCAAAGGATAGGACAGAAACAATGGTCTTACATATAGATTTAGAAAAATTCAAAGAAGTGATTAAATACGCATTTGTTCGTCCAGAACCTGAACACTCTTTGTTTACTCCTTGATTAATTTTTATTTTATGAGTATTCATTGCCTATTGTAAAATATATTAGTAATATGAAAATGTTATGGTATATGGTCTTCATATCAGTGTAAATTATCGTGTGTAATATGTTTTTATTAAAATATTTTTTTATTAATTACATATAATTTATATATGTATTTATTTATAGTAAGTTTAAATATATTAATCACAATTTTCTTTCTTTGTTTATTTTAAAGCGCTTCTGGCAGGATGCCGATTTAAAAAAATTTTTGTATAGTCTACTTAAAGTTTTTTTTTTTTATTTTGATTTTTTTTATGTAGTGGATTTCCTAGAATACAGTAATACCATTATCTGTCAAGGCCAAATGAATCACTAAGGTCTCTTACCTAATATAGCAAAAGATCGAGTAACGTAAACCAAAACACTAATGCCCGGTCTAGGTACCAGTATTAAAACAAATGATTCTGAGTTTGAATATTACGTTATATTAATGCTAGCTATTTCTATTACCTAATGTGAATTCAAAATGCATATTCTTAGCGCATACCTACCTAGACACCACGATCTACAAATTTAATGTTCTACAGAATATCTCATATCGAGTATAAAGTTATTATATTGTCTCAAATATATAGGACTTACTATAAAAATAATGTATTTAAGTATTCCTTATTCACATTATTATGAAAATGGTAATTTGAAATTTTATAACACAAAATACGTAATTTATAAAAATGCATAAATAATGCAATGCATAAAAAGTAATGATATTTGTTTTCAACATGGTTATGGTTATTATTTTCATAAAAATATAAATCCTACTTTTAATATAAATGCGAAAGATTGTGAGGTTAGATCTATAGATTCTGTGTGTTCCTTTTAAAGCAAAAACTACCGAATGGAATTAAATGAAATTTGGTGCAAATTTGGAAAATTTGGAAGTTCAATTATTAAAAATTCCACTTAAGTTTTAGCAAATACACATAGTATACAATTTAAATACGTATATAATAAAGATATCGTAGATATTAATGTAAAAAATATCGATATATTATCAAACGTTTTGACAAATTGTCAATAACTAGTAGTAGTTTGTGGCTAACATAAGATGTAAGTATATACATAATATTGCTCGTTTTTATAATTAAATTTTAAGATAATAAGTATACAGTATTAATCTATGGTTAATATATTTTACATTATTTAATATGAGATTTTTCTATTTTTTTTAACCGTATTTATTAATAATTTTATGTAGGAATCAAGGTTATAGGCATGTATTTTTATCAGTATTACTTAGTGTTAGTCATAGTTGTTGTAATTAATGAACATACGTTTCATTTCATGCAGATTAAAAATCAACTGTAAAATAAATAGCGCTATGGCAGACAATTTTGAAAAATTTTTTGAAAAGATAAAACATGAAATGCAAAAGCAAACTGTAGATTTAACATACTCTATAACTACAGCCATAATGGATAAAATCGATGAGAAATTGAAACCTATTTTAGAAGAGAATAAAATTTTGAAGTCAGAAATTGCAATTTTAGAAGAAAAAGTAGAATATTTGCAAAAAGATAAGAAAAAAAGTAACATCATAATATTTGGCGTAGACGAAACAGAGAAAATACGTGATGATTTATTTGAATTAATAAACAGCAATATTAAAGCAGCGTTAAACATGTCTGTAAAAGACACCGATATAAATACCGCGTTTCGAATTGGTAGCAAAAAATCAGAAAGTACAAAACCTAGACCGATTTTGGTATCGTTTACCAATATTTGGAAGAGAGATGAAATAATAAGAAATAAACGAAGATTCAGTAATATTTATGTATCTGAAGGTTTTACTAAAGAAGTCCTGGAAAAAAGAAAACTGCTACAAGTTCAATTAAAAGAAGAAAGAAGCAAAGGAAACATAGCGTATCTTAAATATGACAAGCTTGTAATAAAACAACGCACTGGTAAAGTGGAGCAGGATAAAGAAGATTTTGAAAGTATGAAATCTGCTGAAAATGCATTACCAATACAACGAGCAAGGGTAAAGAGAGATGAAATGGGAAGACCTCTATTAAATTTATATAAGAAAATTACCGATTGATTTGAGAACTTTTCATTTACAAGTATTTTAATACGTAACTATTTTAGCATAAATTTTGATATTTATGTACAATTATGTTTCTTATCCATCCTTGTATTTAAAGGTTTCGTTTAATAAATCGTCAATTAAATCAATCCATTCATTCATCTGGAACTTGAAACTTACTTTTGCAATTTTCATTATTGTAAGATTTTTTTTTGTTTGTATTGGATGAATCAGCAAAACACATTAGTAAATAATTAAAAAATAAAACCATATTAACTATTTCTTGATAAATAAAATATATCTTAATCCATAGAGCTATAATATGAAGATTAAATTAAGATAATGCAGAGCCAGGTGAACGTAGCAAACAAGACCGGTCTAAATGAAATTACTATAGAAATTTATTAAAATTTATTATGTATATTTATTTAATAATATATGAATTTATATATTATTTGTATATTTATTTGTATAATTTATTTTTTATTTATAAATTTAATTTGTTACTTTTTCACGTGAAAAAATATTAATATAGTTTTTATTTTCTTAAAATTAAATAATATTGTATAAAGATATGGGTATACATTCATCGCTAAGGGAAAATTGTGGTGTATCGAGATTTGTTTGACCGAGTCTGAAAAAATTTTTATAAAACAATTTATAAATTGGACTAATATCAATTTAATAATAATATTCCATTGGAATTAATTTAGTCATTTTCTCGCATTGATATTTTATAATAAACAGAAAGATGCTCGTTCTAAAACTGACTGACTTAAACTTCAATAACTCTTTTTTTTTTAAATAAAAATGTATTTCTAAATTACCCACTACATATTTCTAAAAACACAACTGCAATTTCTCTGATGTTACGCGTACTTATGGGCAGCGGTAATAATTTATTATCAGGTGAGCAGAATGCTCGTTTGCCTCTTTATGTTATTAAAGAAAAAAAAATATTTATAATCATAAGTCTAAAAGCCTTCGGGCTTCTAGACTTTTCTGTCTTATGGTACACAGAAAACAAAATATATATTTATTATTATTTGATAAATAAATACACTTTATATCTGTGTATTACCAAGTAATATACAGTATCTATTCAGATAACGGTCTCTTTAGATAGTAAAAATAAAAATCGCTTTTCGCATCTTTTTATCCGCTTGCTTCTAAACCACGTATCGTATTTTGATACAATTTTTTTTTTATTATTTTTATATAGGTTACACCGACGTTGAAATATATTTTTAAAGTAGAGTTTGTACATACAATACAGATGTAATAAAATTTTTGTAAAAGTAGATAAATTCAATGATTTGTAATAAATTGTATCCGTGCGAGGCTGAGAGATCGCTAGTGAGAAATTTTTTTCTTAATATATAAATCATTCTCATGAAAACACATAAAAAAAATCTATTTAACTATTATTAGATATTAATGTAATGGAATGACTAAAGATAAAATTTTGTGCGCGTGAATTGGAACGCAAACTACAAGAAAGACTGATGTCAATGTATGATATGAGTGAAGTGAGGAACAAATGTTCGATTAAGTGTTCGATGTTTGAATGCGACTACACGCGAAAAATTATATATATATATATATATATATATATATATATATATATATATATATATATATATATATATATATATATATATATATATATATATATATATATATATATATATATAGATATATAGATATATAGATTTTCATTTACACATACGAGTAGTACAAAATTTGTAATTTGTATTATCAAGTTATTTGCCCATTATATATTACCTATAAGCAGTTACTATTTTATGAGTTTTTCTCTATATAATGAATTCTTCCTTTATTTGCTTTATAAATATACAGTCAATAATATTTGTACACCTAAATTATTAAATTAAAAATATTTTGAATTACGAATAATTATTGTTATTAGTTTAGAATTTTAACAATACTTAAAGGTAGTTGATTTTTTATGGTTCTTTTTTACTATTTTGGCATAAAACGCTAAGATGGAATCAGGAGATTTTTTTCTTATTCGATTAACTTATAACTATTTTGTCATGTAGTTAAAATAAAGGGAGTTACAATTCACACAAAGGGAGTTAGAAAACATGGATAATATTTTAATTAATTTAATTGTTATTTTAAATTTTGGCAATTATTTTATAGCACACAGTAATGCTAGGAATTATCTATTATATTTAAAAAGATCTTTAAAATTGATTATTTAATTTTTTTTTTTAATTTTTTCTTCATACCATTACAAGTATTCTAATATATTTGGAATACATTTCCAATATATCCAAATTTAAAAATGATTAAATAATATCAAATTTTTATACTGCGACTTTGTACACATTAATTAGTACACAGAGTACTACATGTGTTCACCTAGGATATGGTATTCAAAATTTCATTTAAATCTATTCATCAGTTTAGGAAGGATTAAGTGAACTTCTAAAAATCAAAATGTGTATTTTTATCAAAATTTTATATTTAATATTAACAACTAGTTGATGCTCGCGACTTTATCTGCATAGTATTTGTTATTCCTGTTTATATGTTATACCTATTTGTTATACTTATTTATATATGTCTGGGAATACTGAACCAAAATTAACAAATGACGTGTCGTTCTCACTCTTTGCCAGTCTTCTTATGTCAAAATGACTATACTTAAATACGTCGTATACTAAGTTGTATAAGTCACTACAGTTTTTTAACTATCCCACAGGAATTCTTTAATTTTCCGGGATTAAAAGTACCTAAAATGTTGACCAAGAATGTAAGGTGCCATCATGCAAAATTTCATTTAAATCGGTCCAACAATTTTGGAAATTAGAAAAAAAAATCTGGATGTGTTCTACTATTCTCCTTCTAACATCCCCCTGATTTGGTTTTTAGCATTTTTTTTTCTAAGTAGAGACATTCGACCTCTACAGTTTTATTATATGTATAGATAATATAATAGTTAAAATTATATATCTCACTACAATACCCAATTACATTTCCAGATCATTACTCTCTAGAAAGCCGTGATGTATCTAAAATAATTTCAGATCTAAGAAAGAAATATAGAAATGTATTATTTTATGACGTTTGATACGAGCTAGAATGCCCCATAGACGTGGG